ACCTTAATAGGTGGAAAGCGCTTTATCCATTGAGTTATAGTAGCATTTCATAACGAAGCCGGGATAGCCTGGTTGGCAGGCCGTGGACTCACGTTTGTGAGAACGTGAGTTCGAATCCAGCTGGCCGAAGAAGAAATGGTTACTGGTGGTTAAATCTGTCGGGTCACAAAGTCCGCAATGTTCCTGTAACAAATTAAACCTCTGAGGGTATTGGATTGTAAATTGATCGTTCTGTCGTTCAGGTCAAAATTATGATCTGTAAATGAATGAATGGATGTACGAATGGGTTCGTTCTATAAACGGGTGTGGCAGCAGAAGACGAATTCTTGACCATAAATGGCACCGCTGAAAAACAATCGCATCCCCAAACAACATTGCCCCGCAATTCAAAAAACAACGTAAGTGCTTCATGATTGATTTCGAGAAAAGTAGCTGGACAACTATTTTCCTTATATGCTAAACCTACGAGCGCTAAATAGAATTTCAGAAAATTGCTAAAACAAATTCTAATTTTGATTTTTTTTTTTGCAATATGTAACTTATATGAAAGATGCCAAATACATAAAAATCTCAATTTTGAATTTTTTTTTTTTTGTCGCTTACGTTGATTTTTCAATTGCACGGCAGAAGTGTTGCTTATATTTCTTTTAATTTAAAAAGCAAGTGAAAAAACTGTTTTTAATGTTTGTATTAAGTGTTGAAAAGTAATGTGGCACACGAGATTCCTTTCCCCAATTTCGCGAATATCATCTATACTATCAGGAACCAAGAAAGTATTTTACCTCGTAAATTTCAGCTAATAATAAAACCCACCAAGCATAGAAGAATTATTAGACATGGAAGTCAAAATGCTTTTAAAGTTAGACATCGCTGTGTCGCAAAGAAGCATCGAATTTAGCCTACATAACCACAACCATAGCTCAATTTAACGATTCTTTTTGGTGTGACTGTCTGTCTTAAAATGATAAGAATGTAAAATTTTAAAAATGCGATAAAAAAAATCTTCTTTCTTTCTCGTTGTGAGAACAAAGTCTAAAAATCGAGTGAATGTAATGAAAATTAAATAAATGATGCTTAAAAACTGAATTCATAAATACCTTGATTTAAAATCTCCGTGAATAGGTCATGTAACTAACTTAAATAGAGGAGATATTTCCAATTTAACAAAAATATCATTTTTGAAAGTCTAATCTAAACAACAGTCGAATCGTACGGTTAAATCCAATTTAGGAATTAAAAGGGTCCGATTTTCTACGACTATACAATTTGATGGATAAAATGAAGAATTTCGTGCACAAAAATTTCACGAAGTCTTGAACCAAGTCTTTGTGTACGAAATTTAAAACTATATTTCATCTCATTGTTTTATCCTTATTATTTTTTTTTAAAAATATAGAAGGAAAAAAAAATAAGTTGTGTATTTTTTATGATCATCGGATCAAGGTGTGAAAGAACCTGGGGTTATCGGGTATTAAGGTGCAGTACCCATCACAAATTAGCCGAAATTGTCCTTTTATTTAGTGACTATGCAATTCCTTTCGTCAAGTTCAATTTCAGTTAAGCATGTTTTAATGAAATATAAAATTAACAAAATTGAAAGCAACTACTCCTTGAATTTTTTTAAATATTTGTAAACGCACCAAACATTTAAATACTTTAACTGTTAGGTTTTTATAAAATAGCAAATAATCTTTTATGAATTACAAATGATAAATAAAATTATAATAATATTGGAATATGCTAATTTCAAAAATCGGTAAAACGAAATCTCGGTCATCAACAAACAATAATCAAATGAGTTACTCTTTGAAGTGTATGCTCGATAAAGCTACAATATCAGGGTGTTCCAAAATTATCTTTACAACTTCAAAAATTCATAACTTCGAACATAAACAAGATATTTATATTCTGTCTTTTGCATGCATTACTGCGACTAATAAAGTTTTTTTTTTCAATAGGCTGAAAAGTTTTAAGTGAGGATGTGGACACCACAACAGAAAGCTCAATGCGTCTCATGGCCGTATTCGCTCCACATTTTTTAGGTCATCAAANATATATATATATATATATATATATATATATATATATATATATATATATATATATATATATATATATATATATATATATATATATATATATATATATATATATATATATATATATATATATATATATATATATATATATATATATATATATATATATATATATATATATATATATATATATATATATATATATATATATATATATATATATATATATATATATATATATATATATATATATATATATATATATATATATATATATATATATATATATATATATATATATATATATATATATATATATATATATATATATATATATATATATATATATATATATATATATATATATATATATATATATATATATATATATATATATATATATATATATATATATATATATATATATATATATATATATATATATATATATATATATATATATATATATATATATATATATATATATATATATATATATATATATATATATATATATATATATATATATATATATATATATATATATATATATATATATATATATATATATATATATATATATATATATATATATATATATATATATATATATATATATATATATATATATATATATATATATATATATATATATATATATATATATATATATATATATATATATATATATATATATATATATATATATATATATATATATATATATATATATATATATATATATATATATATATATATATATATATATATATATATATATATATATATATATATATATATATATATATATATATATATATATATATATATATATATATATATATATATATATATATATATATATATATATATATATATATATATATATATATATATATATATATATATATATATATATATATATATATATATATATATATATATATATATATATATATATATATATATATATATATATATATATATATATATATATATATATATATATATATATATATATATATATATATATATATATATATATATATATATATATATATATATATATATATATATATATATATATATATATATATATATATATATATATATATATATATATATATATATATATATATATATATATATATATATATATATATATATATATATATATATATATATATATATATATATATATATATATATATATATATATATATATATATATATATATATATATATATATATATATATATATATATATATATATATATATATATATATATATATATATATATATATATATATATATATATATATATATATATATATATATATATATATATATATATATATATATATATATATATATATATATATATATATATATATATATATATATATATATATATATATATATATATATATATATATATATATATATATATATATATATATATATATATATATATATATATATATATATATATATATATATATATATATATATATATATATATATATATATATATATATATATATATATATATATATATATATATATATATATATATATATATATATATATATATATATATATATATATATATATATATATATATATATATATATATATATATATATATATATATATATATATATATATATATATATATATATATATATATATATATATATATATATATATATATATATATATATATATATATATATATATATATATATATATATATATATATATATATATATATATATATATATATATATATATATATATATATATATATATATATATATATATATATATATATATATATATATATATATATATATATATATATATATATATATATATATATATATATATATATATATATATATATATATATATATATATATATATATATATATATATATATATATATATATATATATATATATATATATATATATATATATATATATATATATATATATATATATATATATATATATATATATATATATATATATATATATATATATATATATATATATATATATATATATATATATATATATATATATATATATATATATATATATATATATATATATATATATATATATATATATATATATATATATATATATATATATATATATATATATATATATATATATATATATATATATATATATATATATATATATATATATATATATATATATATATATATATATATATATATATATATATATATATATATATATATATATATATATATATATATATATATATATATATATATATATATATATATATATATATATATATATATATATATATATATATATATATATATATATATATATATATATATATATATATATATATATATATATATATATATATATATATATATATATATATATATATATATATATATATATATATATATATATATATATATATATATATATATATATATATATATATATATATATATATATATATATATATATATATATATATATATATATATATATATATATATATATATATATATATATATATATATATATATATATATATATATATATATATATATATATATATATATATATATATATATATATATATATATATATATATATATATATATATATATATATATATATATATATATATATATATATATATATATATATATATATATATATATATATATATATATATATATATATATATATATATATATATATATATATATATATATATATATATATATATATATATATATATATATATATATATATATATATATATATATATATATATATATATATATATATATATATATATATATATATATATATATATATATAACCGTATATATATATATATATATATATATATATATATATAAATTTTGAAAATGAAAACAAAAAACATACCTTCAAGTATTGAAATTGCACCTCTTTTTCATTAATGGTTACTTTGGACGGTCTTTTATCCAGTCCATATACTTTTATTTCATTGAGATCTAACTTAGTTGGATAGTTGTGCCAAACAATGCTGTTGTTGAAACAATTCTGTTAAACAATATACAAAATTAATTTGAATAAAAACACATCTTAATTATAAAATGTGCACACAATTAAATATAATATATTGTACAAAAAATATTTCTAACTTTTTTTAGGTTTAAACTTGGAACTGCAAATAATTATTAAAATTACACATATATGTTTTTTTTATTACATATGAGTTAAAATTACCAACCTAAAAGCAAACTGAATTTAAAATAAGTCCTTTTTAAATTAAAAATATTCATGTAAAAAATAAAATGAAATTTATTCTACCGAAAAAATTGTCTTTAAAAACTGTTTTACCAAATAAAACATTTGAATATTCAGTTTTAACTATAGGTTTTATTAGTTAAACAACATTTCATTGACCAATGACGCCAATTGCACTGGTTAACAGACATTAATAGAATAATTTCTACATGTTATTTACAGTTTGGTTTTTGTTCACACTTGTTTGAGAGAACCAGCGGTTTACCAATAGAGGGCAGGGTAATTGAATGCTATGTCATATCACATTTTTTCGTGTTATGCTTTTGAATTTGCATATACTTTTGAGACAGATATAATAATAATAGTTTAATTTTGTTAAGCGTATATTATCATCAATATTATGTCAATCATGTAAGTGTTAAATAGAACTGTCATTTGTATTTCAATGCTTATACTCTGCTTATGCTGTCAATGCAGTACTTCTGCCAATGGACTATTGTTATTATTATTATTATTATGTAGTTAATGTTCTCTTCTTGTAATTCCTCATTCTATTTATTTTATGATTTATCCCTTTCGATATTTGTCATGTACTAATGCATTATCAAGAGTGAATCATTAAAGCTTGTTTGAATAAGAAGCTCGTAAGTGTCATTAGTCTTGATTGATGTTTAGCAATTCAGCCTCCAGCATGAACATGCAGTCAGCAGTACCCTAGTTCTGACCTACCCCCTATGAACATTATTACAATAAAATTTGCATAATTTCTTACAAGTCAAGCAACATTTTTGAGACTATGGAATTGCAAATAGAAAAAAAGTGTAAAAAAAAATGGGAAAGGCTATTTTGCTTGCAGCCAACTTATATCAATTAATGATATATTTGTATATATGTTGCATCATGAAAAAAAAGTATCAAATTCAATAGTAGATAATAATAATTTATAGCATGTTTCTTACACTTAAAAAAAAAGAGGATGGACTTATTATTAAAAGGTTAACAGAACAGTAATCATAAAGAAAAATATAATTAAATTACATTGAAAAAACTAAACGAAATTAACATATAACTTTCTTTCAATAAGATTAAATTACATAAAAAAAACAATCAATATATACATATGAAAGCTTTAATAGCAAAACTGCTCACATAAAATTCGGTGTAAATGCCAAAATGCATACATTTACAAATTGGTGAACTTCTTGATAGATCAAGAAAAAATACAAAAAGTTAAAATTATTAATACCATTAATACCATAATACCATTAATTAAATGCATTTTTCACATTCTAAGAAAATAATACCAAAAATAATAATAATAACACATTAGGGAAACAAAAAATCACTGTACCATGGAAAAATGTTTCTCAACTGTGGTGTTATTCCTTAATTTTTAAAAAACGCAATATAATTTTATTTTATTGTTGGCGAGGCATTTTTTAAAATCTTCAGAAAAATATAAAAATATTAATACAGCAAAGCTTCCTTGGAGCAACCACTTTCTGTTTCACAAATGGTCATTGATGGAGGTTGGTTGTTCTGAGGTTACCTCCACTGACTTAAAAATTTTTATCAAAGGTACATGATTTTTCACAAACGATTTTAATTTTAATCAGTGTCCTTTTCTTGGTGCGGAAATGCCACTTCTAAGGGCGTCATGAAAAGACAGATTGATGAATAAAACTTAACATTTATAAGAATGATCCCAACTGATATAATTATGTGTAAAAACAAATTTACCAGTTTTGAATGATAAAGCTATTTTAAACAAATAAACAATTATGTTTTTTTGCTTAAGTTTGCATTTAATTTTATATCATAAAAAATAGTTAGCTTTATAAGGTGAGAAGAGGTTTGCTTATTTAAAATGCTTATTTTTCCTAAAAGAACTTTTTTTTTCTAATTTAACTTTCAATTTTAAAAATAAATCATTGATAATGTTGTCTTTAGTGCACTCTGATTGTAACATGAGGTAGGCAATCGTTTCAGAGAGTGTCAAATAGAGCTCGATAAATAAGATCAATTCACAAATATTTTCAATACATTTGAATCTACTTATTTGTTTTGTTAATATTTTTTTTTATTTCGATATTTTATATTGTTTTGTTATTTGATCACCTGTGTATTTTGTGCCAAAGTTTGCCCGCTTGCTAGTAAAAAATACGCTAAAAATTATTATTTAAATTACACATAAAATAATTAATTCTTAAAAGATTGAAAAAAAAAATTAAATTTTTAATTTTTGTTGGAAGTATTAAAACTTACCTTATCAGCACTAAAGTGGTTCTTATCATATATTTCTGTTTGATGAGTGCCTAAAATAAGAAAAAAATATTATTAAAAGAAAACTAAATTATTAAACAAAAGTGAACATAAATTTTTTTTTAATATATACTATTTGCATTTATAAAATATACTTTTGCTCATAAATTTTTCATGTCTCTCACTCCTCAGATTGTAAATAAAATTGACTGATAAATGCAAAGGGAATAATAATTAATATTTACAGATGGTATTTCTTCAATTTTTTATAGTAATGATCTTGAGTTTATATAGACAGGTTCATAATTGGAAAATGGACACGGATATTGAAAATTTTTGATTGTTTAAAAATAAGTAAGAAATCGATATACTAAATTAAAAAAATATTTTGTATTCATGTAACAGGAATTTTATAAATAAAGTACAAGGCAATTTTATATGCAGTGAACTTTCATAAGGGAAGAACAGCTAAATTCTACTCCAATTTGAATGGACAGTTCACAGTTTTAACATTTGACAGTTAGGTGTTCATTAGATGTAAAAGCACAAAATTGAAATAACTGTTAATTGTAAATTTAATTTTTTAGTTCAGAATGACATAACTTCAAACTTTTGTTCTTGGTTTTATAAATTTTAATTAAAATGAATTTGATAACATAATATTCAATAATTTAAATGTTAAGAAAAAAAAGTTGACAAATACATGTTGAAATTTTCTCATACTGCAAAATTAAGAAATTATTAACTTCACCTTTCTTTACACTATCACAAGAAAAAGTCCTTCAAAAAAATCATTATATGCAGCTTGGTATAGGTATTCAAATTTAAAATATATAATTGAATTTCCATATGAGAATAAGTAATGACTAATAATGGTTCAGTTAATGAGAATATATAATAAACACATGTATAATAAAATAATAAAACTGAGTGACTTAAAAATAAATAAAAGGAATTTAATACACTTAAATTATAAAACGAAAATGGACATAAATATTGAAGATTCTACACTGTTTAAAAATAAGTGAGAAATTAATTTACTATAATAAAAAAAAAAAACAATAATTCTTATGAGAATCAAAAATATAATGGAAAAAATAGCAGTTTATTAACTAGCATTTCATTTAGAGTTCCTTCAATAGTTACAATAAATTATTTTTTTGCAATTGAAATCTATATATTTTATTTAAATAAATCAAAATATTTGAAATCGTAGAAAAATACAAGCAGGTATAAAATTTGCTAGTGTTTAATATATTAAAAAAGGAGGTTTCCCTTTCTCTAGTTTTTCAAATTTCAGCACAGTTAAGTAGCAGTACATCTGAAAATAAATTTAACATATACCCAAAGATTCTCCATCATCCCAATAGAATTCTCCAGATGCCTCTTGATTTTCATCCAGCACAATCAGTACATCAAAGTCATTTTCTCGGCTGTAATATATTACTAGATATTATTTAATTTAGAAAAAATAAAATTAATAGAAATATACAAACAAACTTGTTTATTGTCAGTTGAAATTAACAAGATCTGAATTTAAAAAGACAATTTTTATGAATGGTTGGTCTAATGTTAAAAAAAATATATGTATATAAAAATCTGGTGTTATAAGCATAACTTGGATTTAGGAGATAGTCTTCTTAAACTTCTAAAACTTTGTCATGAGTCTTTCAAATCTTTGCAATGAATAAACACAAAGTTCTTTCCTAGAACAAAATATCAAAATTTAACAATAGGATAAAATTGCTAAAATTTTGAAAATTGCAGAGGGTAGAATTTAAATTCCTTAAAAGTCTTTTAATTTTGAAGTAATTGAAAAATTAAGAAAAAAATTTTAGCAATTAAAAATGTGATTACTAATGTTCAAAGATGTGTAAGAAAGGAGATATGAACTAGACTGTAATAAATCCTTTTGTGTTTAATACGAGTACAACCTTGCTTTTGTTATCAGTGGAAAATCAAGGTGTTGGTGATGATGCATTTATTGCGATGAGTGTAGTATATTACATGATTTCCAATCAAAAATTCGAAGTTAAGTCATAAAGAGTCAATTTTCTCCTCAATGTATGTCATAAATAATAAAACTCTCCTATATTTTGAAAAAAAGTTTGATTATACACAGTTTTTATATATAATTATTGATCAATAGCTAGAAGGTTGGGCTAAAAAGTCACCCTGAAGTAAATAAGTAATTAAAGTAAAAAAAAAAAAACAATGCTCAAAAACTTCTTGGCAACAATTCTTTCTCAAAAATAAATCGATTTTAAGTTTCCCTATAAATTTAACATTTTTCTTTCACAAAATAAATTTGTAAATAAAAGAAAGATAGTTCACCTAGACATAATATTTTTTCCAGGCAACTGTAAAGGCAATATGTATCCACCTCTAACGGCTAAAATGATATGGGTTATGTTGCAAGGTAAACTTTTATATCCAGCTTCATTACTAATTAGTTCTCCAGTGTAAAAATCATACCAAATAGCATTAGGGAAGTAAGCTTTGACTTCTGTCATGCCCTAAAAGCAAAGAATTCAAACATTTAGATAAGCATTTGTTTCTTTATGATAGAAAAGTTAATTGTAATTTGTTCGAAAATAATCATTTTTACAGGATAAAGAGCTGGTATAACAAGCAGAGCTGGACCCCATAAAAATTCTTCATCCATATTCAATGCAATTTTATCAGTAGGGAATCTGAAAATTAACAAAACATTGTATTAAATAAAATATAAAAATAATAATAAACTCTGAATTTTCAAATAAAAATTATTTTGCAAACCTGGATATGATGCGTATTTTTGAAATAAAATGTATTTCTAAAAAAAACATTCAACTTTGATCTGTAGATTAAATTTAATTTTATCTTAATTAATCTCTTCTTTATAAATTAAAATGAGTTTTTTCTGTAGTTAGCCCTTTCTTAAAAAAAAGTAAATATCTGATGAGCTACTGGGTAATTGTTGGTAAATCGAAATCTAGCATTAAAAATGAGTATTGAAAAGTGATATCTAGTTAAAAGGAACTTCAATTTCTAAGAAATTTTTTTTTTAATGAGAACTTTTAAACTAAGAAATACCTTTGGTTAAGCTATTGATTAAAAAAAAGTTAAAGAAATTAAATGGAAGTATAAAACAATAATGATCAGTATAGAAATACTAAACTTATTATTTATATCACTTATAGACTGTAGATTAAAATTAATTGCGCAGCTCACCAGCATTTAGTACTATTCAAAATTTACTCACTCAAAAAACAGAGGTCTAACTGTTGCTTCACCAAATTCAGTACTTCTATAGAACAGATGGTAAATGTATGGTAGCAAGTAATATCGAGTATGCAGAGATTTCTTAGCAGCAATAAGCACATCTCCACCCATAGCAGCTGGATCTTGCTCCTAAAAATATATCATAAGATAATAACAATAAAAAAAAAATGGAAAAAAATAGCATAATATTTTTTTTTTATTTTACAGAAGGAAAAAAATTACACAGATATGAAAATAAGTGGATTGGCTGAAAAATATAGAAAAATGCCATCCTCCTATTACAACTTTTTAAATTTAGGTATTCATAGGGAAAACCATAAATTAAATCACTGGATTACAAAAAATCTGTAAGAGTCTTCCATAGTTTTAAGAAACGCAAGCTTCCAACTTCCATTCATGAACAGTTATGACTTAAATTCTTTGTGGAAATTGAAAGGTAAAAAGAATCCAAATGTATGGGAGTTAAAGGCAAATGAATTAAAGGAATAACTAAATCAGCGGTTCCTAACCGATGGTCCATGTCAGAGTCGACCGACTCTTTCATGGAGAAAAACTCTCATTTAAGGTTTCCCAACTTAGATTACTTGTTTTTAAGTTTCCTTACAGTTATGAGAGCTAAGTGAATACAATTAAATTATTTTCTTTATAAAAAAAAAACTTATTTTTAAATTCTTCGGTAATTCTTGAACAGAATCTTTTGCTAACTACTGCATCTATACTCATTTTACATATATGTCCTACGTCATACCTATATACTAAGTGTCTATAATTTATCATTATATTTTTTACTTTTATAATTATAAAGCAGTTTCAATAGTATTATAGTTTCACATTATAACATATTATAGTTTCAATAGAAACATATTATTAAAAACAAGTGAAATATTTTCTCATGATTTAAGTATTAACTCCAAATAAAATCACTAATAGAAATAAGTAACAAAAGGTTATTCAAGATATCATTTGCTAATATATATTACAATATGTAGTCGATGTATTTTAAACTTTTTTGTACTATTTCAGTAAAATTATAACTTATTTATTATATAAAATTTTTAAAATATTTTTCAAAATTCAATCAAAAAGAGAGAAAAATTAATTTTCATAAATGCCACATTTTAAATCAATCATTTTAAACAAATGGATAGCTCTTAAACACTGATTTAACTAGTTTCAAATTAATTTAGAAACTTACAATGGTATCATAATCATTATGATTTCTTGCAAATGGATAAAAAGCACCAAGAGCTTGCCAACGAGCACATAGCTCTGCAGTGGTATTTAGTCGGAAACCACAAATATCTGATCCAACCATTGGCATACCATATATGTTAAATACAAGCATAACTAAAAATAAAATTCATTTTATGATGTGTAAAATATAGAAATTACAAACTAAATATCTTAAACTTAACTTAGTTAATATTGTATGAGAATAAAAAACTAGAGATGGTAAATTGGTATGAAATGCTCACATGTTTTTGATTAGAATTAAACTAAACACATATTAATTTCTGCAATCATACACAAAAAAGGCATGTAGAAATAAATCAAACTGCATCAAAACATTATTTCTAAATATCACTCTTACAGCTATTCATAAAGCTATTCCTATTTAATCAAGCAATTCAAAAGCTTTAAAGCAATCAAGCGAATTACAGAGTTAATCAACACCCGTTGATAGTTATTCAAGTTTGACTTAAATAGGGTTCAGCATACTAGAGAAACTGACAGCAGAGTTACAAAAATATATCAGAAATTGACTGCTTTACCTTACCAATTTAAAAAAGAATAATTTCAGTAAACGAATCATTACCCAAGCATAGATGTTATTTAACATAAATAAAACAGACTGATAGTTTTTGAAAAAATATAGTAAATACCATATTATTATAAAAGATTATTAGAGATCATTATCATTATTTTTTTATGTTCTTCGAATTTTAAATCTAGTAATAAATATAACTATAATGATTGGAAAACTAAAATGATAAAAATTAAAATAAATTCAAAAAAAATAATAATTTTTTTCCTATAATATAAATTGCCTGAAGTATTTTCCAAAATTAAATTTTTGAATGTATATAACTGCTTCAAAATTTGACTTGTGCTATAATTGAAAATGTAGGTTAGATAACCAAAGATTTGTTTTTTCAAGACTAGTATAAACAATGAAGTATTTTAAATAATTTTTCAGCAAACTAATTATGATTTAAATAGATATTAATTCTGAGTAATTGTGCTACAGAAGGCTTATTTTTTTATTTTCTTTAAACAAATAATAATATATATATATATAGGGGGAAATGGTAAGATGAGAAATTTTAATTTTGCCATTGATGGTATTGCTTTATAGTGAACAGATGCTGCCATCTGTAAGTAAAAAACTGTTTTAACAGTAATAAATCTGTAATAATGAATTCTGTAGCCTTTTTTTTAATTATCCTATTTAGTAACTATTAGAGTAATAAAAGCTCTTTTAGTTCAGCATATTTTATTTTATTTAAGATTCATAATAACAAGAAATATGAGCATTCACATGTATATAACCAACATTTGAAATTAGAAGGTAGTACAATATTCAGTGGACAGAAGAAAAGGAAAATCAATAAATTTACATAATCTCATAAAATTAAAATTGAGTTTTTAATTTATAAAAATATTTTAAATTTTTTAAGAGTAACTTTAATAATAGGGTTTCAAGTAAAAAGCATTTATTTTGCGACCTTGACACTTCAAAAGAAAAGAAATAATAGCTTTCTAACAATGATATATTCAGATAAATAATAAATATTCTTATTGATTTTCACTAATTCAATGTATATAAATCAACCCTAGCAAGATTTCAAATTTTATCTATCCTATTTTTAAATTTTTTTTTAATAAATAAGCAAACTGTAACTTTAAAAAAATATTGAATTTATGATGTGAATTTGAGTAATCATACCTAGTCATTATTCCAAGTAATTATAATTCTTGGAAAAAAGATGTAAATAGTTTATTTTAATAGCATCAACTAGATGAAAAACTAAAATACTTTAAATAAATCTTACATGGAATTGTGTATCGAAGATCTTCCCAACTTGATGTTATATCACCACTCCAATGACCACTAAAAGCACCTTGACCAGAATATGTGGCTCGAGATATTATGAAAGGTCGTTTTTTCCTTATAACACGCATTGAACTATAAAAAGAACAGAAAACAAATCAAGCATAGAGATAAAACTTCCTACAATATTTAAGAATTTACAGTAACTAAATTTATTAAATTTTACGTCCAGTCATTTATATTACGAAAAAAAAAGCAGGGTTAAACTAAACATTACAAATTTTTAGTTGTTTTATCTCACTAGTAAAAATTCTAAAAAATATAGAAATTCTAAAGAACATTCATAGCCCTCAACTCATGTAAATAGTAAATACACATAGCCTTACTATTAAGATGAATGTTACAAATATGTATTTTATATAATTCTATTTCCAAAATTTATACTTCGATATTTTTCAGTTTAGAATAATAAAGCTCGTAGGAAGAGGAAAAAGAAATTGTATAAAAAAATTTTTCCTTTGTACTATAAACACAGATTTTAACAAAATGATTGTTTTACAGATGATCAATTTACTAAATATTAATGAAATATACCTATATTATAATCATTAAGTGGGAGTACTAATGACTATCAAAATATAATAACTTAAATTATTTGAAAATGCAAGAAATAAGAATCAATATTAGATAATGATCATACAAGAAAAATGTTCAAGAAAATAGTTAATCAGTTGCTAGCATAGACTAATAATAAATTCCAATAAATTTTCTTTCAATAATCAATATTTTTTCAGACAAACAAAGCTATAACCAAACTTGATTTCCATCCTAAAATAGCATTATCCTTTATTGTACATAAGGGAGAGGTTAGTAACTATGAAAAAGCAATTTTAACACCATGCAAGCTGTCAATTCAGTCTAATGTTGCTGATTATCAAACAATGAATGATCAATATTGTACACTTATTTGTATTTCTTTACAGTAATTACTGCTGCCATGAATAAAATACATATAAACAAAACTGGTCCAATATACAGAAAAAAATATGTCATCTTTGTGCTAGAACATAACATGATAAAATAAAAATTAAATTTTAAAATTTTAACAGCAGCTTAAGTACTAAAATAAATTTTCAACATATCTGCATTTTCTTTTTTTTTCTCCTGTATCTCAGAACTGACAATAAAAAAGTTTGAAAATAAATTGTATGCCTTAATTTTTTTTAAATATGCTTATCTGCTTTTATACATTATAATTATGATGAGGTTAAGCAATGCTTTTGTTCCTGCATGACTGTAGAAAACTTTATTCATGAGAACAACTATAATGCGCATGGATGTATTTAATTTTTAAATGAAATTAGAATACTTTTTATATCATTAAATAATTTTAAAAGATAAATTAAAAAAGGAATTTCAGATAACACAAATGCTTACGCATAGGAAGTGTATGATTCCCTAAAGCCAACCAAGTTATGTTCATAGTAGTGCAAAGAAAAATAATGCTTAGCCGTCATGCATATAGTCTGGGTTCGTAATGGATATGGCCTACCAGGAAGATATTTTGGGTTTTCAACAGATGAATCAGGACACTCTTTTGCTGTTCCATTGTCAAAATTCAAAGGCTCATTCATATCCTTACAGAAGGAAATACAATATCAGATTTGCTTCTAATTTATAATTTATTAAATAAAGTAAGATAGGAGACAGTTATTTTTCACAATTACATAAGATTTTAAGCATCATGCATCATAAATGTAAAATAGTATCGATGTATGAAGCCAGTTTTTTCTTCTTTTTTTTTATAGAATAGCAGACAAACAGTCATTTTAACAGATTTAGTTTGACAAACACACTAAGTTTTCTTTTAAGATGTATAATGAAACATATTTTTTTCAATAACGTAATTGAACTTATTTATTATTATAACTTGATGAACAATTCTTGGTCATAGATGGCGCCACTGGAAAACAAGAATGAATGCAACCCCTCTATACGTCAACATTTTGATGAACAATAAACTTTATAATAAAATGTAATGTTTCAAAGCTAATCAGAAAGAATGTTTGCTCAAAATATACAAGTATTAATAAGCAAATATTTCAAATATTTAAATAAAATTATGAATACAAAATACTGCATTAATTTACTAAAAAAATTGAACTTCTTTCTTGTTTTTAAAATTGATAATACATATAACAAAAAATCTATCACTGCCCAAAAGTAACAAAAATCAATCTAGGTACAAAAGTAACAAAAGATTGATCTTGATACAAAAGTTATAAAAAATTATTGATTCACATATTATTTTAAGCATATACATAACCAAGGTAATAAGAAGAAGTCAAATAGCTAGAGCAGATCTCGTAGTAAGCAAAAAAATATATAATAAAATCGAGACATTTTTCATAATCAGAAAATTTTCTGAAACAGTATACATACACCAGAATACTTTTAAAACTTAAACCATAGAAAAGTATAATTTACATTCCTCAAGTACAATAAAAGAAAATGTTTCCGCAACAAATAATAAAATAGATTATTTTTATTTTCAGAAATATTGTGTTCAGAAGAGAAAGTTAACAGTTTTCAGTATTTTTTATTGACGGATGACTGAACAACTCATAATAGTTTGATATCAATATCTAGAAAATTTTCATAGTACTGTTGCAATGAAAAATAACCAGTTATAATCAGTTATTCCCCCATACCAGTAATTAAAATTTGTAACAGAGTTCTAGACTTCCTCAAACAAATAATTTTAAAGCAAAGATTCCAATTATATTGAAAGGAAAACACAAAAAATATGCTACTTAACACTTTTTCACAAAGGTAATGCAGTAGATGATCCCTTAATAAATCTTTTAAAAAGATCTATGATACAATTACAGCACTGTTGATTAGAATTGAACATTTTTAAAGTCAGATGAAAAAGTCAAATCAATATTTGTATTTCAGGAAACATGTTGTGTTGCCCAATACTAAAATTTTGTCTACGAAATGCATTCAGTTGATTTTAAAACATTAAGTGTTTATTATATTCATAAAAACAGAAATAACTCTTAACTCTCTCTTGTTTAAAAAAATAAATAAATAAATAAACAGAGTACTTACCAGCCATAACCCATCAAACTTAACCTCTTTGTAAAATTCATTTAATCTGTCAGTCCAATAGCCTTGAGTTTTGGGAAAAGTAAAATCAGGATAAACTGTGTAATTTGTATTCCATACCTAATAAATAAATAAAAATTATTGGTATATGACAAAATAAAAAGTAAATTAAGCATGTCCTATACACTAAATAATTGAATCACAATGTTTCAATAGTAATTCATGAATAATAGACAATATCAATAGAGATAATAAGTTTACAATACCAGCTTTGTCAGTAATATTATATTATTTTGTAAGCTTGGCATTTCTAAATTTTTCCTTATAGCTGCCACTTTAATGGATGCATTTTTGCAGATACTGTGTTAATTTTTTTTTCTAACACCAACACCTTGATATGTCCTTAAGAAAGCATGGAACTATCCCTTAGTTTATTAGAATTTTTTTATTAAAATGTTCAGTACAACATATGCTAGCATTTTGAATAAATCAAATATACTAATTAGTTTAATGGCACTTTTAATGGATAATAAAACAAATTAGCAACTTTCTTAAAACCAAACTGGGTATTTATTTGCTATTATTAAGTAATTAAAACGTTCTATTGCAAGCCAATGAATATTATTTACAGTTTTTTTCACCAAAACAAAATGAACTTGCCCATTAAAGTATTCCTCTGTGTCAGTTTTGATGGAATAACCCATGAATTTTTAAAACAATCATACAAACCATTAGAAAACATAAAATGTATTTATTAAGGTGTATTTTAAGCTTCTAAGTTTGAATTAATAAAATTGTTATTTCTAAAATTGTTGGGACAACCGACTACACTACATTGACTGATATTGTTTAACAGCTTATTTTGTCAAAGTTGATAATATGCCTATTATTAAAATGATCATATCAACATTGACTCATTCCCACTATCACACTAACTTAAAATGGCTATAGTCTCTTGCAAACTGTTATGTTTGAATTTTTGAATTGGCCTACTGTTGGCAAAATTATCACTGTGGTCTTCCTTTTTGCATTTTTAGGCATATTTGAAATAATTTTTTCTTTGTTTGCACTGTTTACAATAGTGGCATTAAAATTTCAGCAATGTTTCAGTTGTTACAGTTATAGAATACTAAATTATGCCTTAGGCAAAACTCTCATAAAACTGATATTTTTCTTCTAGAGGTTGAAACATTTGACCAGGAACTTATACAAAAATATAATGTAATAAATGCAATACATAGTAAAATTTGTATACTGGTTTGCATAGCAATACTTGCTAAAAGTCGTTGTAACAGACTTCATATTTTTCATTCACCATTGCTGCATTTAAGTCGTGGAACAATTAGTTGAATAGTTCATGAAAAAACAGATGACAGATCTTCTATCATTACTTTTCATTGCTGATCTACAGACAATTTTTTTCTCAATTTGAACTTAAACGAGGTTTTAAAATCCTTTTTAAAGGAATGACATTTTCACAAACAGTCAGAAACACTTTTTGACAGTATTAAAAGAGAGTTGAAGAATTTTAACAATTCTTCAATTAATGACTTTTTATTGGGTCGAGTGTAACTGTGGTAGGAATACAGAAATTGCTACTGAAAATAAATGCACTTATCAGTTTCTTTTTAATTATTTTAGATTTACAAAAGAATGAAATTAAAATATATGAAAGATAATTACTTTAGATTCAATATAATTTCCTTCAGCATCTTTCACAAAAAGGTCTAATTTTTTTCCTTCATCAAAAGCAGGATATGTTCCATTTTCCTCAGAATTAGATACTCCAGGCGACTAAAAATAGTTATTAAATGCACATAATTTTTCTCAGTCAAATGTTAAATCAGGAAAAATTATAACAGTTAAAATTATACAATAATATAGTCAGAATTACTAAATCTGTTCATTAAACAAATTGATTATTGAAAAAAAAAATTTGCCAATTGTTTATTAGTTTTGAATATTTTCAATGGAATAATTATTAAAAATAAGACATATAATACAGAATTATAAGAGTTAACCATAAGAATGACAAACCTAAATAAAGGTAGAATAAAGATTTTTGAGAAGGAGGAGAGAAGATTTTTAAAATATTTGAGTGTTTTTCACTCTTTTTAAAAGCTGAAATAAAATAAAATTAACAGAGAATCAAGCTTTAATACAGTAAATGACATATATTGAGTCAGAATCCTTTTATTACATAGTTATTTCATTACGATTAAAAAAATTACTTTTGCTTTTAGAATATAGAAAAACAATTTCAATGTAATAATGTTTACAATTTTTGATGATGTTAAAGCATGATGGCAATGTCTAACTATATAACTGGCAAAGGTTAATCTGTTTAACAAATGTTTAGCTATCTAAGGGGGTTAATGTATTTTAGGATTTATTTCTTTTGTTAATTTCAATACATAAATACATTTGATTTGAAGATACTAAAGCATGATGTCAATATCCTTACTCCATAACTGGCAAAGGTTAATCTGTTTAACAAATGTTTAGTTACCTTAGGGGTTAATGTATTTTAAGATTCATTTCTTTTGTTAATTTTCATGTATAAAAATATTTGATTTTAGATTTAGTATGATCCAAATATTTAAATAAGAAAATAATGATTTTTGAAAGCTAATAAACAATTAATGTTAAAATTCCACCTCCTTTGTTAATTTTGATACATTCATGTACTATATATATTTCTTTCTATATTTCAGTCTGATCAAAATATTTAATTTTTAAAAAAATAATTATTTTTAAGATAATAACTAATAATGTTTAAAAATAAATAATTTTATTGTTAAAATAATTTTTTTTTACATAAAAATTAAAAGTTTAAAAACAATACTCCAAATATTTTTTTATATTCTTCTTAAACTTTTTTTGAACATCAAACAAGTTTGTCAATTTAAAGTTTCATCTTGTTCATGCATTTATCAAGGAAGTACTATAAAACCTTTTCAAATTATATAAGCATATACGAGGGTTGCTATTTATATTTCTGGCCTAATAATGAAAAAACAAATATGTAGGATCGAAATTGGCTTTATTGTTTTTCAAAATATTCTCCATGATCATCAATACAGTTTTGCATGCGTTTGAACCAATTTTCAAAGCACTTTTTCCAGTCCGATTGAGGTAACTCCAAAACATGCGTTTTGAATGCATCAACCGCTTCTTCGGGGATCGAAAATCGTTGTCCACGTAATTTATTTTTGATGTGTGGGAATAAGAAGAATGCCAAATCAGGGCTGTACGGCGGATGACCCATCGGTTCGATCGTTCGCTCCGTCAGAAATGCCTTTGTTTGAGTCGATGTGTGAGAGCTCGCATTGTCATGATGAAGAGCATGTTCTGGTTAGCTTTTTCATTTTCGAAT